CGCTGCTCAGGCCCTCCGAAGCCGGGACCAGCCTTGCCTCGTACCAAATCAGCCTCTGTAGAGTCACAGAATTAATTTGGTTGGAAAAGACCTCTGAGATCATCGAGAAGAGCCAGTGACCTCACTTCATGATGTCAACTAGACATGGGCACTACACCTCCAGTCCTTCCTTAGACAGCTCCAAGGATGGTGACTCCACCGCCTCCCTGTGCAGTCCATTCCAGTATATAATCACCCTTTCTGTGAAGAAATTCCTTCTAATGTCCTAAACCTGCCCTAGCACAGCTTGAGACTATGTCCTCCTGTCCTGTCACTGGCTGCCTGGGTTAGGAGGCCAATTCCTACTTGCCTACAACCTCCTTTCAGGTAGTTGTAGAGGGTGATAAGTCTCCCCTGAGTCTTCTTTTCTGCAGCCTAGACAACTCCAGCTCCCTCAGCTGCTCCTCAAAGAACTTGTGTTCCAGACAGTCACCATTTCTAGAGCCCAAGCCACATCACCCTTTCCAGAGAGGGATAATTTGCTTTCTAATTCCTAAATGATTGTGTCTGTACACATTTCTTGTAGCCTTCATGAAAAAGAGCAGGTGTGAACCTTGCTTCTCTTACTCTGCAGTCAGGGCTCATATTGAAGGTAGGATGGTGGCAGATACTCCTTAAACAGTAAATACATGTGTGTGTGTGTGTGTGTGTGTTACTACAAAGGCTCCACTGGGTAACTGATACACACACACACACATATAATTACTGTTTAAGTACCACCTGTATAACAATGAGTAGCTCTGCTAAGCTTAAAACTGCTGTTGATAATCAAGGACTACTAAAAGCAGTGACAGGACTTCAGCAGCCAAACTACAATATTCCCCCTATTCACCTGAAACAGGGAAGAGCCACTTCCCTGGCAGAGGCAACAAAGCCTGCTGCAAGGCCTTCACAGTGCACCTCACGATCAGTGTTTCTGCTGCAGCCCATGCACAAAAGTTAGAGAAGGGGGGAGTGGCAGAGTGGGGGCGGAACTTCCAGAGATGGGAAGAACTAATGTGAAATTTTGCATCACTGCCCTGCATCCCCACTGTTTTCCTTTGTTTTCCTCTTGGCCGTACACCCGAGCCAAGCACAAGGATATACTGTGAATGCATCATAATAAAGTAGCTGTAGCACTGTTTCTCTTTGGTGGTCTTAAGATGCAATGAAACATCTTTAACTTGGCAGAATCATCTATCCTTTGGATCAGCTTGGTTTATGATTGCTCCTGCCCATCAATTAGTTTATAAAAGTGTTCCAAGGGACTAGAACAGAGAATTGAACCTCTGCAGCATTTGTCCTACCAAACTTGAAATGAGATAGGTGAGAGAAGATGACTCCTGCTACAGCCATCATTCCTCATTTTGACCAGCAAGTGCTTCTCTCAGGACATGTAAGTAGAACCTTTGTAGTATGATAAAGCTGAGGGGCAAAGCAGCTGTGAGGAGCTGTGAAGGGCAAACACTTTTCTGTAGACAATTTAATGAGTACCTGGTAATCAAGAGATGTTTCTAAATCCTCCAGATTGAAAGCCAAAGTAACAAAGGAGTGAGGGGATCTCTGCAAATGGAGGTGACAAGTACCAGTATGAAAAACTGGAGGGTAAAGTATTCAAACTCTACCTATGTCCATTATATGAGCTTGGCTACTTGCTTGTTCCTCTCCAATTCCTCAAGCATTCAGTACAATCTCAAGAAAAATATTCCAGTGAGTCATTTTAATAGACAAAAGATTTCCTGGCTGGAACCATCATCATCATGAGCTGATAACAGAGCATTTTCCTATTTGTTTGCATCAGAATCTCCTGTACACTGCAAAGTATATTTTGCATATTTGCTTCTTCTTTGCTCCTAGAACTAACTGCATTCTTGTTTTGTTGGAAGGTCTGTAGATGAATTTTTCATATCAAGATATTCACTTGCTTTAAACAGAAGACAAAATTCTTGGTTGCATAGTGAAGTTTATTTAAAGGGAGTAAGTTCCAATATATTATTACAAATCAACCACAATACATCAAATATAAACAATACAAACCAGTTGTAGAAGGAATGCAAGCACACTATAAATATAGCCTTCATACGTGCCCTTCAGAAAGAGTCCAGTGACACATTTTGTTAAAATATCCTCTTCAGTATTTTAAACTCACCTCTTGGTGAGCACATGGAAAGCAAACAGCTGGCACTGAGAACTCAATTTTGAAATCACAGGACATCAAAAATATTCACATCACAGAGGTAAGAACTGACAAACAACCATCACAGTTCACAAGAACATAGGTCTGAAAAAGTTATGACAAGCTACACGGTGCTCCCCATTGAAAGTGCTAATGGTTTGGAGCTGTGAGTGGAAAGCAGCCTGCTTCCCTCTGAGGACAGCTGTTCCCAGGGCATCTAGGAGGTTGCAGGGAGGTCATCTCCAGCTATTTATCATTTCCAAACATAGCTGCTAAACATCAAGGTCATTACTTGGCAAGGTCTTCTTAGCTCTGAATTTTGTGGCTGGCATCCTGCTTCTTGCCCAAGGGATTTGACTCACCAATCCAGATGGGTTTGAAACAGATAACCCTCACTGATGGATCAGAAAATTCTTCCTCTCTCCCTTCCCAATAAAGGCTACATTTAATGTATGATGATTCTGAGAGAGCAACATGTAAAATCCAGAATGGAACCCAGAGAAGTCAAGGGGACTCAGATCCACTATCCACCTGTACTGATGCAACTTCAGCTGCAACAGCACCACAGTTTGGGAATAAGTAGCCAGAGACTCACTCCAGGCAAATGTGGACTATCCCCCCAGAACACTCTCCTCCTTGTAATATACATTTGAAGTCTGGTGTTTTATGTACCTTTTAAAACTTTACTTAATTGATATTTACTGAAAATCAACTTCTTTAGATAAATGCTATAGCACTTTGACTCTGGCTAAACTCCTGCCTTCTTTCACAGTCTAATTAGCAATGTATTTAACACAATCAGTTCCCAGTTTTTCATTCTGCCAGTTGCGAAGTCCTCATTCATCTACATGATATTGTCACATCCAATATTTTCCCAGATATGAGAAAAGGAAAAATCTTTTTTTCTTTTACACTTGTAGATATAAAAAAACCCTAAACAAAAAACTTGTTGCTTTGGTCTCTCATCCACACTCTATATGCATAAGCACACAACACTCACAACTCTGGATTTCAACACTCTTAGAGAAAACTATGAATGGCCATAAGAAGCACTCTTCTATGTCTATCTAGTGTTCCTCTGGTCCTTGGGTTTAGTGTCAGCATATCAAAAGGAGCAGTCCTCTGGTGTTCCTAGACATCTGACAGCAGCATATGAAGGCAAAGAATGTATGGCACCAGGAAATTCAAATACCACTGTACTACTCATCTTACAGCCACAAGGTGGTCTATGAACAGACTAGATCTCCAGGAACAGCCTAGAGGGGCTCTCCCTGCCTGACCTTAGCAAGGACCATCCCCTACCCAAATGGGCAGAGAAATAAGAAGAAATCTCTTGTATTAATGACACCTATGGTTCTCATTTCAGACATGCTGTTTGTTCCTAAGGCACCTTGTGATAAATCCTCTGTAGAGTGGCTTTTATAGGGGTAGTGAGACAAGAAGGAAGAGTATAAGCAGTGGGGATGAAAGTGAACTCATTTAGGGACTCATTCTTTCCCCTAATTCCCCACAAGAACAACAAAGTCTTTCAGCAGCTAGACCTGTAATAAGATTTACCTCAAATTCACCTCACCAGGCCCAGCTCCACAGTAGCTGAAAACCCAGTGCAGGCCACAGATGGAGGTTCCATGCACACACAGGTACAAGGAAATGAGCTGACTGGGCACAGCCACACAGAGAGGCATGTGGCTGCCTTCCAGACTTAGTGCACAGTAACCTGACTTTCCCAGCACCTGAAGTCGGGTAGCTAAGCTCTTCCCCTCAACACATTTTCATCTTATTGTTTGTGCATATTAAATGGGTCTCAAGCATTAATTTGCTACAAGCCTGTGTCTGACACCAGTAACCCTTCCTGAGAACATGCATTACAGGCCTCCAAAGGGTCTGAGTAAATGTAAGCAGTACCAGTAGTGGTCCTTGATGTAAGCAATTTTAACTCTCTGTTCTCAATAAAACACATACATTTTAAACTTCTGCTGCTACATTACACCTAAAGCAAAAAAGAAGAAACAATGGAGAGCTTATTACCTTCTCTCACATGAAAATGTCCAACAGATTAATACCATTATTATAATTAAACACTTATCCAAGGTAATTTTTATACAGGTCCTTTGCTAAAGGATATATCTCTGACTGAACATGTAAATTTTATTTAGACCTAAATTATATCCAAAACAAAATGGAAAATAATTATGTGCTTTCACAAAAGCAAACCCAAAATGCAAAAGAAGCTTCTTTCTTGATTTAGCTTTCTGAATTTCTAGAGACAATTTAGAGGGAAAGGACACATATACTAAAAGCCTATTTGAAATCTTCCTTCCACAGAAACAAAAAAAAATTCCTTTCCTGAGGATTAATTTCCTTCTCTGAAGTGCAACTGCATTTAAACTTTATTTTTCTTTTTTGACCCAAGGTCTAATACCAAAGATCTCTATTTAAATAAGAAGGATTTCCATAAATGCCTAAGCCAGCTAGCAAAATTGAATAAAAATCCAGGAAATATACCAAACTGAAAAAAATACACATGCAAAATAAGATTATTTCTTTGAAACAACGATGGGTTTGATATTGAACAGGAATGGCTGCTTGTTAATCACTAGCCACACAGCCAAGCTATTTATCAGAGAACTAATAAAAACTGTGTATCCTTCCAAAAAGAAGTTGTCACTTTGATAATGAATGCTAGTTGAATACCTGAGAAACAACATACTTGTATAATGTGGAAATATAAGAAAATAAACAAAAAGAGGAATTATCCTGTACAACTGTGAAGCTTTCCTGAAGATTAAATGTTCCTAAAACTATCCTGTGTTCATAGAAGATACCAGATACTTCCGGGAAACTTAAGCAGTGAAACAACACACACCAAATACTCTCAGTTCCACTGCAGCAGGCCTGTCTGTGGGCAGGCTGCATTTGCAGGCTGGGCACAGGCTCATTGGGATGACATTCCACATTCAATGCTGCTTTTGGGCTCAAGTCAATGAGACCAGGTAGATGGGCACAGTTCCAAAAGAGTGACCCCAGCCTTATTAAAGATTGGTCCACATTTCAGAAAGCAAGAACTGAATATAGGTTTTCCATCTACAGTGCAATTTATCTTAACAAAAACCATTAACTAATGGCTTGAAAACTGGGACATCTATGTGTCAGCAAGTGATCAAAACTGGTTGTAAGGCAGGTTTTGTGAGAAAAAACACAGTATATTTTTAAATGGAGATAACCCACTAGCATGCAACAAGCTGTGCAGCTGAGGATCCATAATTCTGGAATATCTCATGTACATACAGGTCAGAGTTCCCTTCAACAGAAATAAATCCTAATTAGAAGGTGGAGTAGGTGCCAAATAGTACATCACATGTTAACCAGCACACACACACACAGGGTTCTGCAGATCTCACAGCTAAGGACCAACAATGCTGACATTGTGGTCACACTGAAGGGTCTATTCCATCTTCTTCTCTTTAGTGCCTCAGGTGACAGTGTGCTCTCCCCTCCCACTTCTGCCTGAGCAATAGCCAGCCACCAGTGGTGGGCAGGAGGACTGTATCTGGCTTAAGTTGGACTCTGAGAAGACAGATAAGAACACAATAGTTAAGGGCCCTAGGTCTTGCTCATCAGCTTAGGGCCAGTTGGGCACAAGGAAAACCAGAATACAGCCTGTATGGATATATGACTGTAAGTCAATCATCTTACTCTAAGTAGTGGACAGTCCAGGGCCTCTTTACCCTCTCCTGCATGGCAGAAGGCTGTACCCCAGCATCTCCGCTCAACTAGGGTGAGTTAACTTCTTGAGGCTGAGATCCCTTGCTCAGGAATTGTCACCAAGTGCTTAATAGCATACAAAACTGAAATCTCAGCTGAGATACAAGATTGACTGTGCACATAATCCTTTAGATGTAAATTACTGGCCAAGTCTGGGACTAAGTCTGGATCCAGACACACCTAAATTTCCCTTGAGAAAGGAGTTTAAAAAATAAGGGGGTCCTTTCTGAACCTCATGACTCAGCAGTGGGTCTGCCTGACAGTTTTGTCTGACGCTGTCCTCTATGCAGTGAACGGCTAAGTATACCTTGCCATCATGTCTTGTTAAATTATTGTCTCATTTACTCATAAAATCATAGAATGGTTTGGATTGGAAGAGGACCTTATATATCATTCAGTTCCAACTGCTTTCCTTTAGGCAGGGACACCTTCAACTAGACCAGGGTGCTGTACCTGCAGGGTTGTGTGGGAGACAGGCTACACATGCTGGGCTGCTGTACCTGTGCTGCTGTGTGTGTGCAGGAGATGGGTTACACCTGGATCACAGCACTGACCTGAGTGGAGGATGAGAGCAGCCTTTAGAACATGTGGGGAGAGCTGGGCATGCTCCAGTTCCTGCTGCATGCAGTGCTCCCTGAGCCCAGGTGTTCTGTACTCCATACACTGCAGGAGCCGCACGCTGCAGCTGTGTCACCATCCTGTCTGATGCTCCTGGCACAGCCCTGCTGCACAGCCTTGTCTGTCCAGCATTTTGTACCATATGTGTATGAGCTGACTGACAGGACTGATGCCTGCCATCTGACTGATGCTTCATTAAGCTCTTTGGCACATTTTTAATCAGCAACTTCCGTTATTCACAAGCCAATACTTTAAAAAGGGTGGGGGAGTAAAATCCCAAACATATTTGCTTGTGATTTGTTTTTTTAACTCAACTCTCCTTTAAAACAGAAAGGATGTTATGAAATTATATTATGAAATTATGAAAGGATACTGTCAATTGCAGAATGTGATGAGTAACTCAGGTGGCCTGAGCTGCAGAAGTGCCTCCATAATACTCAACTGCTACTGCTGGACGTGGTTATCAGCTTTTTAAGGAAATACTTTACTATATGGCTATGAAGAGTTGTCCAAAATACAATAAAACTGTTACTGTGTTTAGAGTGTTTCTAGAGGTTTCAATAATTCTGATTTTATTAGCAATGACAGTTTCAGTAAGCTTTTAATGAAATATTTGTTCCTTTTTATAAAACAGCCCATGACAAAAAAACCTCATTTCTTAAAACCAGCTATTTTTCTGAATCTAAAGGCCTGAAGAACCTGAAGATTTTTGAGAATTTCTGAAATTTCTGTCTGAATGTGAATTGAGTGTATCAGATGGACAGACCATAATTTGTAAGGCTACAGATCCTTCTCCCTCTATCTCATAAGACCCACTGAAGCTGGAAAAGAAGTAGAGTCCCATCTCCTGACAATTTGGGCCAGTTAATTCCAGTACTGACCTTATTTTCAGAGACTGGCTTGTGTTGTTAAAGGATTTACTAAATAAACTTGCCCTTTCCCTGTTGTTGGTATCTTTTACTTCCTACATCATCTGTTTGAAGAAAATTATTAGTCTAATCCTCTACTGTAAGATTCTATCTGATGCAGTCTTTTAGGTAATGGATCTAAGTGAAATTCCACAAACTTGGAATTTGGACAATTTCACAGTTGGAGTTCATAGATTGTACCCACTTTTACAAAAACACTTCCCTGACAAGCATTGCGTGGTGAACAAAAGTATTTTTTCCAAATTAACAATGTAAAAAATAATGTAAGGAACAACCTAGTGAAACCTCTAAGAAAAATATAATGCCTACTTTTTATTTCCTTCAACAGTCCTGCAGAACTCCACCACTGAGTTTCAACACCACCGTTTTCCCAGAGGTTGCAGAACAGCCTGAAGAACCCTGGCATTGACCACACATGTATGTGGCTCATCTTATTACTCTGTGACATAACCAGCTTCTGTATTTTATGTGCAACTTTTCTTCTGGCATTGGCCCATAGCGTTTTCTGTGTGATCATAAATGGTTTTAAGGTGTTTTCCAGTGACTTGGTACAAAAGGTTCATAGAATTATAGAGTATGTTGATTTGGAAGAGGTCCATCATGATCATTGAGTCCAGCTCCTGTCTCAGGACACCCCAACAATCAGAACATGTGCTTGAGAGTGTTGTCCAAACACTCCTTGAGCTCTGTCAGGCTTGGTGCTGTGTTCACTTCCCTGGGGAGCCTGTTCCAGTGCTCAACCACCATCTGGGTGAAAAACTTTTTCCATATACCCACCCTAAACCTCCCCTGACTCAGCTTCAGGCCACTTCCTTGAGTCCTGTCACTGGTCACAAGATTGAAGAGATCAGTGCCTGCCTCTCATGAGGAAGCTGTAACTGCAATAAGGTCTCCCCTCAGTCTCCTCTTTTCCAAGTGACCTCAGCCACTCCTCCTGTGGCTTCCCCTCCAGACCCTTCACCATCCTTGTGGCTCTCCTTTGGATGGTCTTTAATGGCTTAATGTCTTTTTTACACTGTGGCACGCAGAACTGCCCCCAGCCCTGGAGGTGAGGCTGCCCCAGAGCAGAGCAGAGCAGGACAATCCCCTCCCTTGCCTGGCTGGTGATGCTGGGCCTGATGCACCCAGGGCAGGGCTGGCCCTCCTGGCTGCCAGGGCACTGCTGGCTCAGGGTCAACTTGCCATCATCCAGGACCCCTGGTCCCTTTCTGCAGTGCTGCTCTGCAGCCTCTCATTCCCTAGTCTATACAAAACACACCAACTATGAAATGTTGTAAATTGATGTTTTCTATCAGCAAACATACTACTACTTCTCTGTTAGAAGTGAAGAGTGTCACTCCATCAGCCATATCTAGGAATTTGATAGACAAAGGATGAAAAAACCCAAACACCTTAGCTAAACTGCTCAGGCCTGATTCAAGTGCTGTAGAAAGGCCACAGGATGGTTCTTCATTTCATCCATGAGAGGTTAAAGGAAGGAATAGCCCTCTCCAAGCCGCTACCTGAAAGAGCATCTTGCTCTGACAGATACCAAGCCTACTGTTCTGTCTCCCTGTGCTCGACCTGCTTGAATAAAGCAGCTCTGCAGTTCCCCTCCACCCTGGTGAATACACTCTCTCTTTTGAGATAGGTGGCTGTTTTCTCCCCTTCTCAGGGCCCAAAGCAGCAACAACTCTGCTCCTGGCCCACTCCCCCAGAAAGCCACTGTGCTCCAAGTAGGGCTCTTCCAATTTCCACTCCTCCAGTTCCCAGCTTGGGCTGCCCTATTGTAAAGTGACTGCTTCTTCTCTTACCATTTTGACCTACTAAGTGCTCTGGAGCAGTGAATCAGTAAGCAGAGATACTTCAAAGTAAGCTTGAATACAGAACAAATTGTACAGCATTACAATATACCCTTAATAGGAAATAGGCAGCCCTCCTATGAGAGCAAAATCTTTGGCTTTAACTACCCCAAATAATTCTGTCCATCGTTTCCTCTCAATAGAAGGAATGGACCAAGTAGAATTTAAAAATAAAACTCAGAACTTTTCTAGTATCACCATGGAAAGTAATTTTGTGTCTCTGCAAAGAGGTATCAAAATGTAAATACAGCAGTATTCTTAGAAAAGAGAACGATTTCAAGTTAAAAGTATTAAAATAAACAACAGTTACAAATAAGCATGTTTTAAAATTCATTTCTGATGGATTAACTTCTCCTTTTTAACTCAGCCACTACTTAAGCAGAAGGTGGTAACTAATACCATCACTAGTCACCAAAACATGCCAAGGAACTTCCTAACAGTACCTTTGCAACAGCAATAGCAGTTGACAAACTGCATTGCTCTGGGAGCCTTTTCCTTGCTACATATGGTTGCAATACCACTGAACCAACATCCTGCTACTAAGAAACATTTCCTGTATATTTATTGGTTGTATTCCAACCATTTTGTATTCATTCAGCATGGCAGTAAGTAACATCCTCTGCTTCACACCTGGATTACAGAAAAAACTTCTGGTAATCACTGAGGTTTTAATCATCTACATATGCCTACAATCAACAGATATAACATTCAATTCTTAATCTATAGAAAAGCCTTCCTTTGGACTATGAGGTGTGCACCCTGCTCCCACCCCCTTTCCAAACATGAGCTGTGACTGCTATTTGGGGCCCACCTGTTGCAGCACTGCCAAGCCACTGCAGCATGGGCTGCTGCTGGCCAGCTGCACTCCCAGCCACTCGTGTGAGTGAAGGAAGCACCGACTGCTGGTGACTGTAGCGATGGTAGGTGATGGGTTACCCTGGCTAAGTGACAAGCCAGCTGTGCTTCTGGCTCACTGAGACTAACAGCTGCCCTCTAGCGATGCAGATGCAGCAGGAGAGTTGGAAAAGTTATTCACAAAACAGTAACATTATTTTCACTTCATTTTGTACCAACACAACAGATCAGAACAACAACCTCCTGAATGTGGCTTCTGGGCAATTGCCCGCATTGACTTGAAGGCCCAGCCCAATGCCTGCATGGAGCAGACCTCCCAAAGTTCTAGAGAAAGAGCAGCTGCCTGGGAACAACCAGGCAGTCACAACTACCTTTCTCCCCTGAGACAGTGGGGAAGAAGGGTGTGTGGAGAAACCAGTTCGTGTCCAAAGGAGAGCTGGCAGAACTGCGCCGTGGTTCTGTCATGCAGCAGAGCCCGTCAGGCAGTACCAGGGCTGGGTGGCAGCCTGCTACACTCACCATCACCTGCCTGCCATCCTTGCCCCTTCCCTCTTCTTCAGCTAGTGTAGTAGACGTGAAAGAACAGAGTCTTATTGCGGAGCAGAGAGTAGGAGTTATCAAACTTCAGCAGGTAGATGCCCTCGCCCGGGTACTCGTGGCTGCCTGCCTGTACCTCGCGATGGCTGTTCCTGCGGTACACGGGCATCACCTCTCCATAGCGGTTCCGCAGGTAGCTCTTGGAACCCCGCTCCACATCACCCACAGGGGACAGTCCTGAACGGCACAGAGGAGACAAGTAAGTAGGGCAGAATCACCTCATGATCCAGAAAAAGACCAACTAGACCAGAACACAACACAGACATGCAGCTATATGGAGGGCTAATGGTGATAGCATTACCCAGAGCATCTCCTCCGACCTTTCTGCAAATAATTCCCACAAAGTCCAGCCTTCCTATCATAACAAAGGTCATACCAAGAACCAGTTCTCTTGGGAATACTGATGGAACAGTATTTACTAGCCCACCAGCCCAATCTCCTCTCTTTTTTAGCTTAGACACTTTACTGCTTTCATACATGCAACAGCAGTCCTGTGATATAGACTTGAAGCACAGAGAGGCGGGAAAGCTCTTAGCTGTCACCTCATAGTGTCTGTGTTCTCAGTTCACTTTTCCAAGAGGATTCCTCAAAAAGGAACCTACTCCTGCCTACAGGGCCTGCAAAATTCAGACACGAAGCTCCCAGCTACACTGGTCACACATACACTCAAGCCACAGAACAGGCAACGTTACTGTGTGTTTCCCAAGTACAGTGACATAGGTAGCAAACATTTTAAATACAGTCAGAAGAAGCTGCTGATGTAATGGGGAAAAAAGAAAACAAGCAAAAAACCAAAAAACAAGAAATCCCTCCAAACAAACAACAACAAAAAACACCAACCCCTCCCCCCCAAAACACAGCAAAACTCAAAACAAAAAACCCAAACAAACAAAAAACCAAAAACTCAAACAAACAAAACCCCAAAAAAACCAACACCCCAAAACAAAATCTTCTTGCCTCCACTCACCACCAGAAATTTCTCAGTCTGAGAATCTAACAAAAACAGTTGGGTTAAAATTTCAGACTTTAACCTTTTTATCATCTAGAAATTCACTGAGTGAATTCTGGTTTTATGTTTCCATGTGTTCAATCTTAAGAATGCTCTTGGAGAGGACAGCCATTGACATATGCTGAAGCAGGAAGGGCCAAATGCTTTCTTATCACTCTAACCAACAACTCAGTAGGCTGCAGAGATAGCAAATGGGCTGACTAAACAAAGTAGATGGAAATTGTAGCATCTCACAGATACACTCAGCAGCATGGCAACAAGCAACACAAATCAACCTTTGTAAGATCTGCACTAACCTTCAATTTCCTCATCCTCATCTTCATCCTCCTCATCACTGGATTCACTGACCTGAACAGTAATGGCAGTGCTAGTAACTGTGGTCCAGTCAAAATAGACTCCAAACCCAATGTCGTAGTCATCCGTAGCAAACTCCCAGCAAATGCATTTCCCGTCAGGATGGGTTGGCACTCGCACTGTCACCACCTCGCCGCGCTTCACCACCATCCGGCCATTCTTCTCCTTCCCCATCTTGGCTTTGAATTCCTTCATCTTCTCAGTGGTCCACATGGTGGGTGCAGCCAGAGGTGGAGGCTGAGCTGAGACAAGGGAGAAGTTCACAGGCTTACATCACTTTTCCCTACTGACAAACTATTAGCTGAAAACAGTGAAGCTATTTCTGGTAAGGGGCCTGCATTCTGGAGCCTGCTCCCAAAAGCCCCAGATGTGAAGTTTTTCCACTCACTAGCCAGCAGCCCAAATTTCTAGCAGGATTTAGAAGTATCTCCAGGATAGCCTCTGCTCTTCTAGTCAGGGCAGGCACTTAAAAAATACCCAAACAAAAGTTCTGCCTTCAGGACTCACCTTTTCTCTGCTCCCCAAGGAGGTCTGCAGTCTCCAGCTCAGCTGAAAGGATATCCACAGCACCAGTGTGATCTGACTGAATCATGACTATATCCCCTACTCCCTGAGGTACATGGTAGCTGGTTAATCGAACAGCTTCCTGCACAAAGCACATAAAAAACATTGTCACAAAGACCACCCTGTTAAAAAGTCTCTGCCTAGATTTGAAACAACTCATTAGTAACTCAGGCTTCTTTATGAAACTAAGTCAGACCTGCAGAAGCTTCTATTATTAGTGTAGGCCAGCTCTGAGACACCTCTCAGCATTTGTTTCACCCACTGCACCGAAGTCATGAACTTTGAAGTCAAATGCTGCATCAGTGGCACAAATTTCACTTCCCTTGGCCTCCCAGAGAGTCCTGGGCAGGCACGTTTTTGCACTTGCATCAGAATTAATTGTCACCTCTCAACAAAGCAGCAGCCTTATACATTTAGCCAACTATTCTTGGAAAAAATTCGCATCAAACAATCCCTCTAGGGAGAGCCTTTCAGCTCTGTGTGCATCTAGACTGCAGCCACAATCAAACTGCCATTGCTGCATCCTAGTTACAAATCCAGCTGGTTCACTCTCTTCTCACATATGCAAACTCACAGGTCCTGAACTCGGTGTCTCTTGTACAGGTTTCTCTGACTCTATCTGTAGGGCAAACAAATTTGCTGCTCACAATAAGAAACAAGGGATTTCAGTTCCCTTTTGCATAAATCCACAAGAATGGAATTTCCAGAAGCACCAGATAAGAGCAAAAGGTGACAATTACCTTGAAGCCTTGGTGAGCAAGGAAGCAAGGACTAGCTGAAGACACAAGAGGAATTTTGCAAATTAGACTGATACCATTTATCTGCCATTTCATGTACAGGAAAAAACACAACTGAATCTATGTTAATAGTACTTTTATCTTAACACAACCCTTAGAACCCCAGTCCCACAGTGGCAAGCACAGCAGTAGAGTAGGAGAACTGTTGCTGCACTTCTGTCTTCATTCTCAGACACAAGAAACACGCATCTACCTTTTTGAGAGATTTGATTTGGTCAGGTAGCTTCTCTTCTAGCACAGCCACGTTCTGGTCCCCCAGAGTGCCAATTTCTTCCTTCGAATGCTCTGTTGTGTCAGCACTCAGGTGCACCCCAGCCTGAGACCTTTTGGAGGAAGAGAGCAGTACAATTCAGCACTTGCACCCAGGGCACAGCCAGCAGAGGAATCACTGCTCTGGAACTCAAATTCAAATGAGCTGAAGGAACAAGCTTCTGTGGCAGCACCTGCCAGCTGGACAAAGAAGCCCTGCCCACCCCAATCCTGCCATGTCTGCATGATTACTTTCCATGTGAGCCAGGGGGAGCAACTTCTGTGGGATACTCCATATTTACCATCCTTTAGATGGCAGAAATCCACTGCACTCACCCCACAGCATGTTGGCTCACCAACACTACACTAAGGACAGACATCAGTAGCAACTTTTCTGCCCAGCAAAGGACAACTTCTATGCCAGCTACTGCATGGCATCTGCATACTGCCTCAGAGGTCAACTGGATCAGTGAAAGAATTCAGAACAATTTTGACAGCCATCCTGAGAATGCCATCTATTTAAGTGGCCCGTTATGCCTTTCCTACTGGCAATCCCAACAGATACAGGGAGCACCCAAGTGTTTCTCTGCCGTGTCCAAACACACCCCACAGATAAGCAAGCAGTAAGACATACAATGGGCAGCACAACAACTTAAGCAAAGAGGTCTGAGTACTGCACTGTAACAAAAGAAAATGGACATGCTAAAAGAATAAGAATGGTACACAGCAGGAAAAGAATGGGCAAGAAAGGAAACATCTCTGGCATTTATCCTCTGTTGAGGGTTTTCTTCTAAATTATATTTTTAAAATTGCTGCATGTTGTCTATAGGTAGACTTATAATCCTAAATGAACACAGATGCCAGAAGAGTGTCCAGACACATTCTGCATCCACATAGATGACTTGAACAGGGCAAATGTGGCTTTTGTTTTCAAATTGTTACTCCTACGGCACTACAGAATTTATCCAGAAACAAAGCCATTTTTTACTTATATTCTCTCAACAGTGTGATTTCCTTTCCTACAACTGGTGTGACAGACCAGAAGGTCTGTAAGAACGACTCAAGATGAATAGCAGGTTCACAAAATGGCAGCAGATGGATGAGAAAAGAAGGATACTCGGTGGGAACAATTTTTTAAAGGAAGAATTCTTGTACTTCTATGCTATTGTTTTCCAGCCTATTTGCATTTCAGTTTAGCTGTTGCATGAACACACCTAGACGGGCTATCTGGTTATTTGCTACCAGAGGTGCACACATCTGCTCTAAAAGCTCTCCATCAACACAGGAGCCTACAGGCTGGGAATTTTTTCCTCTAGATACATATCATTGATACCTAAGAGTCTCACTGAAAGATTAGGAAGAGCTACACAGCTTTACAGGCAGACTTACAAAGACACAGTTCAGCTGATTCCTTCTCACACAAACCTTTTGGACCATCCCCATCCCTTTCAAAAAAGATCTACATTAAGACAAATTTAATAGGTAATGTCCACAAGTATCTATCATCTGCTTTGGCTATTTTGCCCGTGGTCTGTATTAATCTCTTTAAAGAAATTAGAGGATATAATAAAAAGATGGAAGAACTCATTTATAGTCAGGAAGTCTGATAGAGATGTCAGCAGCATCAAACCAAGATGGCATCAAACTGCTGTTTGGGTAAGAAGGGTGGTTTGATATGGGTTCCTTTTTTCCTGGATTTTTGCATTTTTTTGATGAAGCTGTGCTTTACCTACTGTAATTAACTCACACATTTCTGAAATTGTATCCTGTGCAAGAAATGTACAATGGCAAATGAAACTGCACTGTATAGTGTTAATGCTTGTAGCCGATTAAATTACTTGGCCACAAACACCACATGCCCAGCTGGTATCAACAAGCCAAACATCTGATAACAGGGTTAAGATCAGCAGGATTAATGGAGAGACACAAAATGCAAACAATGAAGAAAAAAGCCAAAATGTTGTCACGAAAATAGTAAAAGGTATTTTCTTGTACAGCTTCCACCAGATTTACAGACAGTAGGCATGCTCAATTATTAAATTATCCTCCAGATAGGATATAGAAAATTTCCCCCTGAAAATGTACTAGCTGTTATAATGGATTATAAAACCACACAGGGTTCATTTCAAGCTGAATGACTCTGTGATTTGAATAGCTGAGCCATGAACTACATTTCACAAGCTTTAAAACAACCTTAAAGCCTGTAAGAACAGGCTCTCCCATACTGATCCTGGTATATACTGTCCCAAAGCAGACAATTCAGTCTCCAGGCCCTTCTTTTTACCTGCACAGAACAAAGTGCCATACAGAAGAGGTCACAGGAGTAAAACAGACGGTCATGCATGTGGGCCACAACACACAAAAAGGTTTTCCTACCCGCTCTGTGAAGTACTGGACTCCAAAGAATCAACTAGCTGATCTGCAGGCTCTGGCTTTTGGGCTGAGTCTTCATTTTCTAGCAACAAACAGAATATAGCAAGAGAAGGCGAAATAAATGTTGGTGTTTATAATACACTAACAGGAAAAAAAACCCTGCAGCCAGCACTCAGACACTGGCAAGGTCACACAGCTGTGGAACAAAGACCTGAGCCAACCAGTTTTTCGTGTTATGAGCTGTATCTAGAACCTTGTGGAACAAAGATTTTTAATGACCTCAACCCTAGGAAAGGGAAAACAAAAACCTTCGCATGTTTTGGATGTAAAGCCATTCTCAGAAGCAGGGTTCATTCAGGAACTACTAATCCTAGCTTTAGAAGGACAGAACAAGGCCAAATTTCATCATGTAAAGCTGAGCTGACAAAGCCCTGGAAAAAGCGATCGTGCAGCAGTTCACAAAGGGCACCGAGGAGATGGAAATTCCTAGGTCGGGGCTAAAAGGACCGTGGCTCCTGCTCCTCCCCGAGTCTCCTGGGTCGGGAAAAGCTCTGTCCCATACGAACGCGGTACACAGTGCATCCCCAGCCCTGCTCTCCGATGGCGCTGAGGCAGTGAACAGGACACGGACAAGTTCCAGCTTTTGTAAGTTGCTGATGCCCCTCGGAGCCGCTGCTGGCCATTCGCAGGAGTCAGGGCGGGAAGGAGGCAGCTCCAGCCCGGGGGCACGCAGCACAGC